AAGCGCGGCGCTCGGAGGCAGCGCGCCTCGAGCTCTTCCAGCGCTGGGCCCGCGTCCGAGGGCCTCGGTCGGGCCGCCCGCCGAGAGGATTTGCTGGCCACGCGCTCGAAGCGGCGGCTCTGGAACTACCTCGAGGAGAAGTTCAGGGCCGAGGGCGACGGGATCACTCTGGTCGAGAAGCGGGCCGTCTCGGACAAGGTCCATCTCGAGTGCGCCTTCGAGGTGGCGGCTTTCAAGACCTTTGCAGCGGCGCGGGGCCTGAACGTGGAGCGCGCCGAGGCCGACGCTGTGGACGCCGCTTTCGCGTCATGCCTCGAGACGTGCTTCTTCGCGGGCTTGCAGCCGTCCGCTGGGGCGAAGGCGCTGGCGGGCTGGATCCACCTCCACCCGGCCTACGGACGCAGGGGCTCTCTGAAGCTGCCCCGCGCCTGGAGAGCGCTGCAGGGCTGGCAGAAGCTGTGCCCAGGGCGCTCCCGCAGGCCAGAGGGCCTGGGCGTGTGGCGCGGGCTCGCGAACGCCATGTGCCATCTCAGCCGCCCTCGGATGGCCGTGTTCGTGATCATGGCCGTCTCGACCTACCTCAGGCCAGGCGCGTTGCTGACGGTGCAGGGCAGCGACCTCGTCCCACCAGCGCAGGGCGTGACCCAGCACTGGGCGGTGCTCGTGCACCCGCAGGAGCGGCTGGGGCGCAGCAAGACTGGAGAGTCAGATGTGTCGATCCTGCTGGACAGCGATTGTTCGAAGGAGCTGAACCCGCTGTGGGAGCGTCTGCGAGCTGTGGCGGGAGGGGGGCCGCTGTGGGACTTCGACTACGGGGAGTACCTGCACACCTTCCGCCAGGCGGCTCGGCTGATCGGAGCGCCCGACCTCGTGCTCTACCAGACGCGGCACAGCGGGCCGAGCGTGGACAGAGCGCGAGGCTCGCGCTCCCTTTTGGAGGTGCAGGAGCGGGGTCAGTGGAAGTCGAACAAGAGCGTGGCTCGTTACGAGAAGCACGCCAGGCTGTCCGACTCTTTTCACCGCCACCCTGCCGCATTTCAGGCGTATTTTCAAGAGTGCGAGCTTCGCGGCGCGGAGATCGCCCCCCACGCGCGGCTCGTGCCTCTCCCATGTTCGGAGCGCAGCTGATGCAATACACTTACGTTGCAGACGCCTTCGCTGGCCAGGGCGGAGTCGCCAGAGCCTTGCGACGGCTCGGCTTCCAGGCGCGGGCCTGGGGGATCGCGCATGGAGAGCGCGGCGACCTCACCTCCGCCCGCGTTTTAGGGGCGCTCCTCTCAGACGTTCGACGAGGTCGGTGTCTCGGGGCGATGATTGCGCCGCCATGCAGCAGTTTTAGTATTGCACGCATTCGCACAGCGCCCATCCGATCTGCGTCTCGACCGTGGGGGTTTTCAAGGAAGGAGGTCAGTTTAAAGGACTGAAACTCAAGGGGGGTAACAAGTGTTTGAGAGCTTTTCTTGCCATAATTCGCGAGTGTAACGCCGTTGGTGCCCCGTGGATTCTCGAGAACCCATGCGCTAGCTATATGTTCAAAACCCGTGAGTTCCAGCGCCTGGCCTCCTCCCCCTCGGTGACGCCTCTGAGGATCGATTTCTGTCAGTTCGGCACTCCCTGGAAAAAAGCCCACCACTTTGCCGTGCGGAAACATTCCCGTCCAGGATCTCGAGGGGCTTTCGCGGCAGTGCCGGGGCACCAGCGGCGTTTGCAGTCGAACGGGATGCAAGCGCGTTATTCTGTCAGGCCCTTCTCCGAGTGGCCAACGGTGGACGCAGATAGCTCAGTCGTATCCACAGCAGCTCAATCGTGCGCTAGCCCGTGCTCTTGTGGCCCCTCTGCGAGCCAGATTCTTTCAAGCCTGAGTCGCATCCACTGCTGTTTCGGGATGGGTTGGGACATTTTTCGAGCGGAGGCTCGCTGTGCGTCAAAGTTTTGCTCGGCCTCCCGCTTGCAGTCTCATCGCGATGACTAAGCATTGTTCTCGAAGGCAGATTTTCGCAGGCGCCTCGCCAGGAGAATAGAACAGGCTCGCCAGGGCTCAGTGGTTTGTATCTCGCCAGGCTCGCAGCCCCATAGGAGTGCGTGCGCAGGCATGGGGAGGAGAGCAGCTTGTCGCCGTCCACGCTTGTTCAGCCTTTGCTCCTTGCTCCGCTCCACAGTCTTTTTGGCTCCCACCCGCGGCCGCCCTTTCAATGTCTTATGTAGCAGGGGCATCTTTCGAGCGGAGGCTCGCTGTGCGTCAAAGTTTTGCTCGGCCTCCCGCTTGCAGTCTCATCGCGATGACTAAGCATTGTTCTCGAAGACAGATTTTCGCAGGCGCCTCGCCAGGAAAATAGAACAGGCTCGCCAGGGCTCAGTGGTTTGTATCTCGCCAGGCTCGCAGCCCCATGATTATGATGATGATGATGATGGTGATGATGGCGATGACGATGATGATGCTGCTGGTGCTTATTATTATTATGATGATGATGATGCCGATGACGATGATGATTGTGATGATGATGCTGATGACGATGATGATGACGGTGAGGATGCTGGCAACGATGATGATGATCAGGGTGATGATGATGCTGATGCTGATGATGATGTGAATGATGATGACGGTGATGATGATAATGATTTGCTGATGATGATAATGATGATCCTGGTGATGCTGATGCTGCTGATGATGATGCTTATGATGATGGTGTCGATGATGATGGTGATTGGGGTTGCTTATGATGATGGTGGCGGTGGATCATGCCGATGATGATCATACTGTTGGTGATGCTGCTGATGATGATGATGATGACGCTGCTTCTGATGCGATGATGGTGCAGCTGCGGATGATGCTCATTATGACGATGAAGAAGTTGTTGTTGTTTATGATGACGATGATGTCGGCCGCGACGACGATGGGCACGACGGCGCCGACGACGAGTGCACTGCTGACGATGATGGCGTGGTGGTGGTGGCGGCGATGCTGACAGGGATCCTGGTACTGATGCTGAGTCTGCTGCTGCTGTTCATGATGATGGTGCTGATGATGATGTTGATGATGCTGCTGCTGTTGATGATGACGTTGCTGCTGCTGATAAGGATCACGATGATAACGATGCTGCTGCTGCTAATGACTGCTGATGCTGGTTAGCCGTCGTACACGACGACGAGGACGATGACGAGGACATAGACGACGACGAGGATAACGATGATGACGATGATGATGTCGACGATGATGATTATCGTGATGGTGATGACCACGTCGACGACGATGATGATTATATTTCTGATGCTGATGCTGGTGATGACGATGGTGATGATGATGATGATGGTGATGATGGCGATGGCGATGCTGATGCGGCTGATGCTAATGCTGTTGATGATGGTGACGGTGATGCTGATGGTACTGACGAGGATGCTGATAACGATGATGACGCTGATGTTGCTGATGCTGCCGCTGCTGATGATGATGACCATGATGTGATGATGATGTTGATGATGATGACGATGACGACGACGATTATGATACTGGTGGTGATGATGCTGATGATAATGATGCTGATGATGATGACGATGCTGATTATGATGATGATGATGATGATGCTGATGTTGATGGTGATGCCGATGATGATTATGATGATGTTGGTGCTTATGATGATTGTGGCTGTTGATGATGTTGCTGCTGATGATTACGATGATGATGATGAAGAATAATCTTTTGATTTGGATGATGACGATGCTGCTGATGAGGATGATGACGATGACGATGACGAGGGTGCTGATGCTGATGATGGTGATGCTGCTGATGATGATGATGCTGATGATTATGGTGATGATGCTGCTGATGCTGCTGCTGATAATGAAGATGTGGATAATGATGATGCACATGATGGTGCTGATGCTAATGATGGTGATGCTGATGATGCTGATGATGATGCTGATGCTCATGATGATTCTCATGATGATGATGACGATGATGATGATGATGATGATGATGATGATGATGATGATGATGATGATGATGATGATGATGATGATGATGATGATGCTGATGATGATGATGATGGTGATGATGATGATGATGATGATGATGCTGCTGATGATGATGATGATGATGATGATGATGATGATGATGATGATGATGATGATGATGATGATGATGATGATGATGATGATGATGATGATGATGATGATGATGATGATGATGATGAAGATGGTGATGATGATGATGATGATGATGATGATGATGATGATGATGATGATGATGATGATGATGATGATGATGATGATGATGATGACGACGATGACGATGACTAGGAGGATGAGGAGAAGGAAGAGGATCAGGATGATGATGTTGGTGATGATTGTCGTGGTGTGGTGGGTGATGCTGGTGTGCCCCGAAGGTGCACTCAGGCGAAAAAGCGCGACGGAACGGGACAAGGGCATGTCGCCTGGCGCACTCGCGCTCCCGCCTCTGGAGACGACGCAGGTCCTAATACTGCGGACCCCGCTTCGCCGACACCGATACTGCGAGCCAGCTACGCAGGCCCAGGTTGGCAACCAAGAGCCACACCTGAAGCGAGAACCCGTGGTGACAGGGAGTTGAGCCCTCCACCACGGACGCCGCCTTGTCTCCGTCGACTTGGGTCAAACTTCCTGAACAGTGCGCCCTTCGCAATCGCGCTGGTACCAGGATGCGATATCATGCCCCTGCGAAGGGGACGAGGAGGAAGAGGAGAAGAAGGAGGAGGGTCAGGAGGAGGAGGAGGGGGTGGAGGAGGAGGAGGAGGAGGAGGAGGAGGAGGAGGAGGAGGAGGGAGGACCAGGAAAAGTGTATGGAGGGAAGGGGGGGCCAGAGGTTGGGGAGCAAGAGTAGGAGGAGGAGGAGGAGGAGGAGGAGGAGGAGGAGGAGGAGGAGGAAGAGGAGGTGGAGGAGGAGGAGGAGGAGGAGGAGGAGGAGGAGGAGCTAAGAGCTGCGGCGGCAGCGAGCAGCCGGCCGCCTGTAGCTCTGCGCCGCGCAGGACTCGGACAGGCGGGTGCTCGAGCACGAGGCGTCGCCGCCCGCGCCTGCTCGGGTCCGTCTCGATCCGGTCGGTCCGATTCGATATCGACTCCGGCCGCCCCGATCTGGGCAGCGTTGCCATGCGCAGACGTCGGGTGTTGCCAGACGTGCCCCTGGCCCACGGTGCCCCCAGGATTTCCAAGGGGGCCCCCACGGCCTCCAACGCACCCCTCACGAGGCCCCGAGGGCCCCATTGGCTCCAACATCGAGCGAGAGGCTGGGGGCACCTTGGGCCAGAGGCATCTTGAGCAGCCCCCGAAACAACAGGCCCGGAAGTTGCAGCTTTCAGCTGGCTTCCAGAACGTGCCCGTTAGTAAGCACACATTGCGGCGCCGCTGAATGTCTGGAAGTCCGATGCGATATCGACTCCGCCTCCCGCCTTCTCATCATCGTCGTCGTCGTCGTCGTCGTCATCCTCCCTCCAGCCGCACCGCTGCTGCTCCTCCTCCTCCTCCTCCTCCTTGCCGAATCCAATCTTCCATCGGTCCGACGTGTCCCGAAGTGTGCATGGCGCTGCTATGCATCTGGGGGCGGCTGATCCGAGTCGATTCCAGCTCCGCGCCGAGGCGGCCCGCTCCGACGCACGTTCCGACGCGATCCGATTCCCCGATTCCATGCTGACTGATCCTGCGATGCTCTGTGGATTGCGGTCCTCCCAGAAGCTCCAGGTTCGAAGCTCGAGCCTCGAAGTGCGAGGCTTTCGCAGGCTTTTGGGCCTCCTCAGGCGCCCCCACGGCCAGACCCGCATCGAACTTCTGGGCAGAACGCACCCGAGGACGGGTCTGGGGGCCGATTTTTGACCCCCAAACCCAGACCCATTCGTGCCGCGAAACAAGCACCTGACGTTTTTTGGCAAGTTGCAGCGTCCGGTGGCCTTTACATGGCTCCGGGGCCGTCCACAAAGGGCCTGGGATGAAAATACAAGCGGGTCCCCAGGGAGGTTGTCCAGGTTCGGGAGCCTCGATACGGGGTCAAAGCGACCGCGGTTCAGCCAGAGCGCGTTATCTTGCAGGATCCTGCAGAGCCAGAGTTGCATATGACCCAGGTCAACGAGCAGGACCCTGCAGGACCCCGCAGGTTTCTGCAGGGCCCTGCGAGGCCTGGCTGACCCGGGTTTGCATTGACCCGGGTCGGTAGATCCCCGACAGGCCCTTTGGGCGTCGGCGCTGCGAAGGAGACGCGACGTCGGGGGCGTGGGTCCACGTCGTGTCTGGCCCGGCGGCGCGCGCCAAGGGGTCGGGGCGGGTGGGGAACGCCTTGGAAGGAGGCTCCCGCTTTGCGGAAGGTGCGGCGCGCACCGTGGGCGGCTGTGCCGATGGACCAGGACGATCGTGAGCGGAGCGTCGGTGGAGGAAGCAGTGCCCGTACCGCCAGCCTGCGCCCGCTTTTTCCGTCCATCGGGTCTCCGAAGAAGTCCTCGTCGCCACCGCGGGATGCGCCTCGAAATCCGTCCATCACACGGTCGTTTGCCACCCTGTGGCCATGGCGCTGGTCTGCGCTGCGCTGGGGGGAGGCCGACGAACGCGGCTCGCTGCCTCCTGCCTCCTGCTGCTCCTCGTTCTCCTCGTTCTTGTCCTCGCCTTCCTCGAGCATTCCTCCGCCGATCCTTTCTGAGAAATCCTTGGCCATCTCTCCATACTGTTTAACCGATCCGTCTTCCCATCCCCATCCCCATCCCGATCCCCACCATCCCACCCCTCCAGTTGGGGATATGTCCCTCGAAACCTTACTGGAACAGTCCATATCCCCATCTACGTAATGAGGGTGGCCGCCGCCGCCGCCGCCGCCGCCGCCGCCGCCCCCGTCGTCGTCGTCGTCGTCGTCGTCGTCGTCGTCGTCGTCGTCGTCGTCGTCGTCGTCGTCGTCTTCGTCGTCGTCGTCGTCGTCGTAGCAGTCGTGGTCGTGGTCGTGGTCCTCGTCGTCGTCGTCGTCGTCGTCGTCGCCGTTCGGCCTCGTCGTCGTCCTTGTTATAGCCGCCGTCGTCGTCGTCGTCGTCGTCGTCGTCATCGTCGTCGTCGTCGCCGCCGCCGCCGCCTTTCGTCGTCGTCGTCGTCGTCGTCATCGTCGTCGTGCGTCGCCGCCGCCGTTCATCGTCGTCGTCGCCGTCGCCGTTCGTCATCGTCGTTTTGGTTGCAGCCGTCGTCGTCGTCGTCGCCGTCGCCGTTCGTCGTCGCCGTTCGTCGTCGTTGTCGTTCGTCGCCGTTCGTCGTCGTCGTCCTTGTTGTAGCCGTCGTCGTCGTCGTCGTCGTCGTCGTCGTCGTCGTCGTCGTCGTCGCCGTCGCCGTCGCCGTCGCCGTCGCCGTTCGTCGTCGCCTTTCGTCGTTGACGTTCGTCGTCGTTCGTCATCGTCCTAGTTGTAGCCGTCGTCGTCGTCGTCGTCGTCGTCGTCGTCGTCGTCGTCGTTCGTCGTCGTCGTCGTCGTCGTCGTCGTCGCCGTTCTGAGGAGCCCGCGGTGGGGGACAAGCGGCCCATGTCCAGCGGCGAGGACTGCATCGCGGCGGCGATGTGGGGCGACCCCGAGGACCGCGCACTGCAGCCGCCGCGCCTCTCTCTGGCCGCGGGGGGCCAGCGGCGTGTGCGCTCTTGGCCGTGGTGGCCCCCGGGTTCTCTGACGCTCGGGCGGTGCCCGAGGGGCCCTCGGGCCCAGG